GATGTTATCATAGGCCACCCTCAAAGTACATTCATAGATGTTATCATAGGATACCCAGCCAGTACATTCACCGATGTTATCATAGGCCATCCATCCAGTACATTAATAGATATTATCATTGGCCACATCCTGGTTATGGGTCATTTTTCATAAGTATGACTAATAAAAAAAATTGTCTCGTTCTTGTAGGCACGACATATTTTAACATTTCTAAAAACTCGATACAAAGAACAATAAAAGCGTATGTTACAGCTCTTCATTTACTCTTGTCCTAGTTTAAAGATCGTTCGTGTTCGGCCCATCTTGGGATCGTCTGCTGCTGTGATTGCCGTGTTAGTGATGCCAAGTGGCAATTGAAGATGTCATATTCGTTTTTGTTTGAAAAAAATCGTTGGCCATAAATATTAAGTGTATTTATTAGAATGCTCGTCAAACTAACAACAATAAATATTTATTCTCAATATTTCAAAACTTGACCTGAACGCAGGCTCTAATACAGGGGCGTCATTTAATTATTTTTAAATAAAGGGTGTGGGGGGGTAGGGGCAAATTCAAAATTTGGTCGACTTGTTAAGCTGGTTATTGCTTGAGGCGCCACATTGCGTGGCAATTTAAATAAAAACTGCCTATTGGCACGTGTTCCCCACCTTGCCCTACCCAAATGACGCCACTGCTCTATTACATGAACAAAATAACTAGGATGATTAATGTATTAGTCTTGTGAGGCATCGGAGATCGTCATATTCGAATACAACTATATGACTGCCATAAACAGAGAGACAGGTATCGTTGGCCAGGACAGTAGTGTCTAAAGTAACATGAATGGCGTTTTTTAAAATTTAAATGTAATCGAATATAGTTACCATGTTAGTGATCGACACAGAAAGAAGAACGTCATTTTCGACAATAATCAAATAAGCAAATTTAGAGATTCTTTAGCCACATGGCGCTTCTATCAGCATGACGAAGGTTCAACAACTCTATATCATTCGGCTGTATGTTGCTCAAGTTCTATTCACTCAGTAAGGACCCACATATAGACGCATAACATGTTGATTTTATGTCGGTTTTGCTGCCCATTAGTAGACACACACTCAAAATATCGACAGCTATGACCTTAAACTTTTGACCTTTATTTTAGAATATTTCGGGGCAGAAGAAAGAAGAAGAAGATTGTCCATTCAATACGGTCTGCGACAATGACGTCAAGGACGGCAAGGACGTCAAGGACGGCAAGGACGTCAAGAACGGGACCGTAAAGTTGAGCTGAGGACCTCTTCAGGCAAACGACCTACGTTTATTTGATGGCTACTTGGCATCGCATCCTGCGCACTGTCTAATGCGATGGAATTTTCAATTTTTTATAAAATTATACCAAACATTTTTTTTAAATAACACAATAAGGCAGGCAGGTTTTTGTAACTTGTGGACGCACTTTAGCAACAATTTTACGAACATTTTTTGTTGTTGTTGTAAGTTGCACAAGTTGTGACACGATGAAAAAAAAAGAGCTTTCAAAGAATGTCAATAAGGTAAAAGAAAAAAAGAGTTTTGAAAATAGTTTAAATCAAAATCATACCCCCATATGTAATGTGCAGATTGTACTCAATACTTTAGAAAGAGTTCTCCAGAACTTCTAAAAAAAAATAAGTTGTTGTTTTTATGATTGAGCGCTTGCACTTATTTTGTGCCACGCAGTGATGGTCAATATGTGCACACGGGATCTGTTTTGTTCGACAAAACACTTGAGAAATAAATGTGATAAAACATAAGATTTACTTTAAAAAAAAAATAATAATAATTTCAACGCTTACAGAAACAAAGGTTTAAAAACCAAATAGTCTATGATTTGATATAATATAAATGGCACTTCACATTTGATAGCTTACTAACGGAAGACACTTCGCCCAATGCTTGGTCTAAGAAAATATAAAATTCTTACAGTAGTTTGGTGTAAGAAAATCTAAAAATCTTAAGGTAGTTTGAAGGATGAAGAAAGAAAAAAAAAAAGATTTCAGAGAATGTAGACATAAATTTATTTCAAATCTCACGTCTCTTACAACTTCGACTAGAAATAGATGAGAGTTTTCGATTCTATATCTTCGAAATTCCTAGTTTACAAACGAATGACACACACGTAGGATAAATCAGTGCAAAGTTTAATTTTTGTTGTTTAAATATTTTTTTTGAGCTAGGGCTTTAAGGTCTTTTAAAAGTAACAGTTGAAAAATCGAATGCCTGTATTGGAGTCTCTGAATAAAAGATGTTTTTAATAGAGTCAAAAAATAATTTATTTTTTCACAATTCCCATATGAATATTTTAATAATACAACAGAACTAAGAGTGCCTCTCTATTTCCTTTTCAATAAGAAGCTTTTTATGCTTTGTTTCGTATTTGGTGATTTTAATTTTAAAAGAACTATCCCCCCCCCCCCCCCTTTTTTTTTTTTTTTAATTTTTTTATTTTTTTTTAAAAAAAAATATAATCTTTTTTTTTTTTTTTTTTTTTTTTTTTTTGTTTTTGGTGATTTTAATTTTAAAAAAACCATCCCCCCCCCCCCCCCCATTTTTTTCCTTTAAAGAATTTCAATTATTTCATGAAAACGAGAACTTACATTTTTTTATTTTTATTTTTTTTTATTTTAAAAGCACACATTTTTTGCAAGTACCAAAAAATGATATGTGCGTTTCTGCCTACCACAGTGGTGTGTGTAAGCATGTACTTAAATATGTCAGAAGCCTCATTAATATATTTGTTTATGGGACAAACGTAATGGAAATAGTAGATAATATATTGGGAACATGAGACAAATAAGGATAGACAATAACGACCTTAAAATCAAATGCAAATTCAACTCTGCTGCATTGTTTCCTAAGACAGCGTTGATACGGATACTATTTAAGATAAGGAGGATATTCAACGGAGGTAAAGGGGAACCAAAAAAGACATTGTGGTTCATTCTTTACTGTGCATATGCTGATGTGTTTTAAAATGTCGTTACTTTTTTTTCCTGTACTATTTGACAATACTGAATGTTATTTAAATTTTAAGGCTTTCTTTTAACACAGCGTTTCTCAGCCTGTTAGTCGCAACCCCTATGGGCCGGGGGGGGGGGGGGAGGGGGGGTTGGAGCGCCCCTTACAAGGGGGGGGGGGGGGGGGGGGGGAAGGTGGGTTTGAACGACCCTTACAAAGGGGTCGCCTGAGACCATTGGAAAACAACATATTTATGAAGTAGCTACGAACATAAATTTGTGTTTGTGGGTCACCCAAACGTGAGGAACTGTATTAAAGGGTCGAGGCATTAGGAATGTTGAGAGCCAATGATTTAAAGCTTTCTTTTAATACAACGGTCCTCAGACTGTGGGTCACGACACTTATGGGGGTCGAAGAACCCTTACACAGGTGTCACCTAAGACCATCGGATAACACACATTTATGAAGTAGTAAACGAAAATAATTTTATGTTTGGGGTTCACCACATAACGAGAAAGTGTATTAAAGGGTCTTGGCGTTAGGAAGTTTCAGAACCACCGCCTTAATACGAAATTCTCAAGTATGCTACTAAATATTCAGCGACTACAATAAGCTATACTGTAAAATAGACTTTAAAAATGCGTAAGTGTGTTTGTGTTGTTCATTGACACTCCAAACACACACACCCACACACACACCCACACACACTTATCAAATACCATCTTATACGTTTTTTTTTTTTTTACGTCTAACAAATGTCTGGGAAGAATAAAATAAAACTCTCTATTGGCCAGGAAAGCTTACCGGCTTATATATAGGGAGTAAATTAGAGCCCTCTGGAGTAGAAATTCTAGACAGTGCGTCATCTGATGACGTTGTTTATAGCAAATAGAAAGTATTTGAAAGTAACCAACCATTTCCAAAATCAAGGGAGAGGTGTTCTTTGTGTCTCTGAACGTGTGACCGGTGTGAACCACGATTTACAGTGAATCGAAACAGAAACATGGTTTGCCTTGTAAAAGTCCTGGGGTTCATGCCGTTCTTTATTTCATAATTGTATTTGATTTTAATTCCATGATTATTTCTCTTTTGATAATATCTTCATGTACAGCGCGGTGAGGCCAGCCCCCCGGCCGGGGTACCGCGCTATAAAAGACTACTAAATATTAATTAATACTATTATTTTTAAATACATTTTGATTGTCTGGTGATTCCGGTTTCACGATTTTACCTTCAAAAATTAAAAAGTTCGATTATATCGAAACTGTTAATAAGACCACGGTATTAAGACTCAACTCAGCCTCCCCTCTACCCGTTTTACTGGAAAATAAAGAAAATTGATCCAAAGTCGTATTTTGACATAGTCGATGTGTGACCGTTTTATTATACGTGATTTATAGTCGCTAGAAAATATAAAATATAACGACCCAAGTATATTGTAAAAAACTGTTGAATAGATATAACGAGCAAAATAGGTTTCATTTTCCTTCATTGACGCATTTGGGTGTATAACGACGTGGTTTATCTTTCATGAGAAATCAAGCAGTGTTAGGAATTAACTTAATTTTTAAAAAAAGACATGTTTCAGATAGAACTGATAAAGATGAATATAATTGCAATAAATTGAGTCGCATTTCAATGACATCATCACACTTAGTATCTCAATAGAAACATTTCCAGTCGCTAGAAAATAGAATTGACGTAATAATTTTAGAACCCTCTTTAATGGATCTCACTTGCAACTGTTTCCTTTTGAATTTCAGGAAGAAAATTCAGAGAATCAAGTTTTGCTTTAGCTCTGAAAATATTGATTAACACTGTCTGAGTGATTTGATTTCTTCAACATTAAGAAAACTTGTATTTGCATCTTATGGGCCAATAACGAACTGTCCACGGCAATGAACGTCACGGGCATCCAAGAGTTAACTTTTCTTGACTTCACCTCACCGGAAAGGGTACAGCAAATCATCTTTGTTATCGGAGCAATCATTGAACCCCCGCTATATATCCTCGGCATCACCGCCAATTTGATCAACATCTTCGTCTATTTAAAACTTGGACTAAAAGACAGCATCAGCATCTGCTTCTTGGTGCTGTCGTGCACGGACCTGGTGTGTGTGTTACTGAGCTTATTGGCCAACTACCGTTTGAACGTATTAAAATATGTTGAAGAAACATGGGATATTGATTCTCAAAGCTTAAATTTCGTCATACGTGCTTACCACGGCCCCTTCTACGACATCTCGCAAGGGATCACGACATTTATCGCCGTCCAAAAATGCTGGTGTGTAGCGCTGCCTTTTCGTTTTAAAAAGACGTTTACGAGGACGCGAACAGCCATCATCTTGTCAGGAATTGCATTAGCGCTGTTCTCCATGCACATGCCGATTGTGACAACTCAAGGTTTAGCGGCAATGTTCGACCCAATCAGTAATAGAACAATACAACAATTATGGATGCTAGAAGTTAGTGGAAAGTTGTACTCTGCTGTAAGCCTCATCTCTTTGGTGTTTACAAACACATGTCAGTTTACCGTCATGTTCTGTTTGGTCGTTCTTTCTTCAAGATTACGAGCGTCATCAAAGTTCAGGAGGGCGACAAAAATAGCCAGTACCGACCAAATGTCTTCGGAGCTGAAATCTCAGAAAATTAAATGTACAGCTCAGCATTTGAAAACACAATTAACGTCTGACAATGAGAGCTCTATTAAACAATCGAAAGATATTCCTAGAAAAAACGCAGAAAGAGGACGGCCTTGGACGACTTCCCACGAAGATTTCACTCCAGCTTCTCTCCACGTTAAGGCCAACTCTAGAAAAGAATTGATGGCCATCAAGTCCACCACTTTTGTGTCCGTTCTGTTTGTTATTTTCAACACTTTTAAACTATTGAATTACTACGCTCTAATCTGCATTTCTGAGTACAGTATTTCCGGTCGTTATCGCAACACGTATTGGGTGACAAATGCATTGCGGTTTACGCTTGAAATTCTACACTGTTCCTGCAACATGTTCGTCTACCTGAAGTGCAACACACGCTACAGGTCAACGCTGTTGGCCTGCCGGAGCCACAGCTGTTGAACATGTTCAAGTTTGTGTTTGTTGGTTCGTGTCAATTTACAGTTTTATTTCACAATTCTAGTTATAGAAATGTATTATTATTTTATTTTTTTTAATGTGTTTGATTTCCTTGAATCTTCATGATAAACTGAAATTTCTCTTAGTTATCAACATTATAGACGGGAGCATAAAAAAGTTTCACTCGTGAGGAGAGGGCTGGATTTTCACAAAACAAAATAACCCACATCTTTACATCACAGAAAATGGGGCAGTCGAGTCATTCTTGTATGCTATGCCAGCATTAGTCACTAAAACATCCAAGCCTCCATAGTTCTGTTTGAGATAATCTCCAAGTTTCAAAATGCTGCTGTGATCATCAATGTCCAGTTGGTGAAACTTGGGATGTAAAATTTCCTTCTGCAGATCTTCAACCGCGATCGCACATATAGCAGAAGTTGCCCAAAACAGACATTGAAAAATATGCTAACCCTTCTTCACGTCCGTTGGAGGCACTGATACTTTTTTTTAGCCAGGTTTTAAAATGAGATATTTATTTTAAAAATGCAAATAATCTATCATTTGACAAACCGATTCTGAATAATTTTTTTTTCCAGAGGTTCCTTTCGCAAGCGTGAGCATGTCATGCCATTGCTATATTATACCTTAACCAGATTTTACATTTAGAAAGGAATCACAGTGACTTCTATCGAAGGTAATCAATCATCCCATATTACCTTACACGTTAAAACTTAGGTGGGTAACAAATTCTTTTCTGTTTCATCCCTTTACGCAATAATCTTTGAACATCCCCCCCCCCTTTTTTTCCATGTAGCTCCTATATGTTCAAACACTACTTCAACTATCTCCAAAACCAATGTCCATTTTGATTATTCCCCAATTCCACCTCTATTTCAGTTTCCCCAGGCCTTTCCCACTTAGCACTTAAGAGCAATTTACTTTTTAAAAAAAAATATTCTTGTTTATAACTTAGTATCTGGTCTGATTCCTCAATTAAGAAAAATTGCTTTAGTTAACTAACATATATATATATATATATATATATATATATATATATATATATCAAATATATTCAAAAATATTTAAAATTTAATTATATAGTGTGTATTATATTATATATTTTTTTTTTTTTATAAAAAAATATATTTTTTTATATCTTAGTATCTGGTGTGTTTTCTATAATAAAAAAAATTTTTTTAGTTAAAAAACATATATATATATATATATATATATATATATATATATATATACTTAACTGAAATAGTTACTAAAATTCTGAAATTCTAATTAAATAGTGTGTACTATCTTAAACATTTTTTTCTAGAATAAATTATTTAACATGATGTGTAAATGAATTGGAATTATAAACAATAATAATTAATGTATTATTCTGTCATTAAATTTTCGTAAATTATGTTTTGTATTTTAAATCTAAAAAAGGTTTCTAATGTAATGTTTGTGTAATTATGTTTGTGGAAAAAAAGCCTTAAGTCTGAGGTGACATACATGTTTTCTGTATTGTGAAAGCAACATTAGACTTATTGTGTGTTGTTTATGTTTTTTTAAATTCTGGTATTGTGTTTAGTGTTATAGCTCTGTCTATATCTACTGTGGGAAATTTACCTTCTTGTATGATTTGTTTAAATGTAGATTTAGTCTGTAATATTGTGTTGCATGTCAGATATAAATGTTGTTCTGTCTCATCAGCCCCTGTCCTGCAGAGTGGACATTCTATGTGCCAAACTCTGTCCTTGTATGGTCTTGATGAGACTGGTGTCATGTTGTATATGAGTCTATATGTTATTTCTTTGTCCTTATTGTCTATTTCTTGAATATGTGTATTTTTAAATGTATTCTTAGTGTTTATTGTTCAATAAGCATGGGTCCATTTTATCCTATTGTCGAGTGGTGTTGCTTGTTGTCTCTTTATTAAATGTGTGTAAATTTCTTTATTTATTTTGTGTATAAGTGTTTCGTTGCCTTTGAATGCTTGGATGGCTACCATGTGAAAATCCGATGTTTTCTTCCCATGCAATGTGATGTGCTGTTGACAATTTTTTATTAACTGCCCTAACCTTATCCATATGTAATAATGTGTAAATAAATGTTCCTCCTTCTTTCTAACGGCTTGTCCTATAAATTTGATTCTAAGTGCCTCTGGTTTTGTTTGTATGTCTTGTAAATTAAGCCCCCCCCCCCCTTTTCTAGTTTAGATTGGATTAATGTTGTATTTTTAATGTTTTGTATTGTTCCTTGAAATCTGTAATTCCTGATGTGTAAGTTGATTTGTTTTAACCCTTTACGGGGCAGAGCGGCCGAAAATGTCTTTACCACTTAAACTCCCAAAAGCGTCCGTGACGACTTAGTGTTGTTTTCTCGTGACCTCCGAGGCTTTGCGAGACTTCCTATTGTTTACATCCGCTTTTTCCGATAGCTGAATAGAGTAGGCGCCAGTGACAAGTATTTAATAGATTTTTTTTTATAGTTTTAGTGGTTTAAAAAAAATAAATTTCGAAATGGATTTTGCCGAGTATTTGCCGATTATTCAAGTGATAGTGGAGATTTCGCTGGATTCAATTAAAGTGACATTTAAGTGCACGAATTGACTGTACATTGGAACTAGATGTTTATATTATTAGTAATATTTAGTGAAATCAGCGTAGTGAGCAGTGTTGAATTTCACAAACTTTTACACGTTTTGTGGCAGTATTTGTAAATAGTAAATAGATGACTCACAATCACAAAGAATATGTTGTTTTTGCAAATATTTGTGTTCATATCAGGATTAATGGCAACATGTGAGTACAATTTATAAATCTGCATTCATTTTCCATTATTTTGTTTTTTTTATTTCACACAAATGTGTTGACTAATACCTTAGATTTGATTTTTTGTGTAACGTAACCCTAAATCTTACTAAAAAACGGAAGAGTGGTGCCCCTTCAGGACATGCAAGAGGAAGTACCTCTGCCCCGTAAAGGGTTAAAATTGTTGGTGGAGGTCCCCCATATGTTCCCTGTGTATATTGTTTTGGGAATTACATATGTGTTTATGATTGTGCCCCTGCCAAAAATTGTGTGTGCTGCGTATTTTTGTCCGTCAATTATGTTTTTTTTTAAATTGAGTTTTAAATCTTTTGCCGTTATTCTGTGTTAGTTTGAGTCGGTTTGTTTGAAAGAATGGATCCCATAAAGCCTAAGACTACCTTTCCTTACTATTCCCAAAGGGAATTCAAATCCATCTTTCAATCAACCAATCCCCATAAATTCAGATTGAGTTATGTTTATTTTAGACCCACTGCCTCTCCCGAATTCTTGATTTATTGATATTATTTTTGAACTAGACTTATCAAAGGACAGGATAGAAAGGTAAGGGGATAGGGGACACCCTTGTCTAACAGATCTGTCACTGTTGATGTCGTTAGAAAGCGTGTTATTTATTACAACATTACTAATAGGTGACTTGCCACAAAATTTTGACCCAATTACAAAAATACTCCCCTAGTTTGTTGTGTTGTAAATATGTTATGTAGGTATGTGTGGTCTGATTACAAATTTAATGGAATTGATATGAAAATCGAACCAAACAGCTCACAGATCTTTTTTTATTTGTCAATTTATTAATATTGTAGAAAATAATTAGTGGAACAAGACATGAGGCTTAACAAGAAAAGACAGGACAATTAAACGGAGGTTTCGGCAAGACGCCTTCTTCAACAGACAGCTACAAAAACCCATAATAAACAGAAGCTTTTAATGAAAATAAGAAATAAAAAGTTAGTTTTTCGTGAATTTCAACAACGTCGCTGTAGCCCAATATTTAAAACAGAAATTACTCTATCCCTTTGTTTGAAAAGGAAGTCATGTTGTTCAACACCGAATTATTCGTGCCGCCTTATTCTGCGGTGCGCACTATTAAGGTAAACGAAGTTAAGCACTATTAATGTCAAATTTTAATCAACGCAAAACATGAGAACAACAATGGAGTCGGATAAACGATATCTACCTAGGAGGGTGTTTCATTGATTCCCTGCTGTGACGTGGTGCCCAAAATTCTGATTTAATTTGTTTTCACTCTTCACACTCACTTGTGTATGGGTGTAGGAAATGAATCGCAAAGCAGGATACCTTGGATTCGCTCGTGTGTTAACCTCAGTTGAAATTGGACGGTACCCGGGACTGTATGCTTTGTCACCCATCCCGAAGACGTTCAATGAACCTATCTCATAGTCGTCTTCCTGTCTTACCCATATAACATGAATGGCACTGTCGTCTAACAATCACAAAGTTTACGTTTTTTACAAACAAGCTTTTTTGAAATCGACCATTGCGTTATAATTCATCATTTCACTCTCCCAATTAGCAGGCTAGTAAATATGATTATTCAGAAGTTTGTCCCAAATTTTAGGTCAACTGTGTGACCCAAAGTAAAGTAAATGAATCGTGGCATTACCTACAATAATGGGGAAATCTGATTCAGTGCTGGTTGGGTTAGCCAAATCAGTACACGGTGGAGCACTATGGACGGAGTTAAACAGCTTGAGAATAGAACTGTTAGAAAAATTGTGTTAGATTATCAACGTAATGATGAAGATGGCTTATCGGCCTACAGATGAAGATAGCTTATCGATGTACAGATGAAGATAGCTTATCAACGTACAGATGAAGAGATTTTTTTTTGTTTGGTTTGAACAGAAAGAACCAAATGGCTGTTAAGTTTTTTATGCATTTAAAATAAAAATAATTTACTCAATTTTACTTTGAAATTTAATTCTCAGCAAGCAAGACGGAAATAAAGGATTATTAATTATGACTATTAGTATTGTATTGTAGAGAAATAATCTCTTTCTTGCAAAATGAAATCCATATGAAACAATTGAATCAATATTAAAAATCAGAGATTGCCCCCCCCCTCCTCAAACTCCCCAAGATGTCGCTCATTGAAGTCACCCACTTCGCCCCCTTGGTTCGTAACTGACGTACACCATTATTATTCGCTTGATA